TTGTTTATACATGGAGCATGTTCTTGCATATCGAAGCATCTGAGAGACATAAACACTTTATGACCTTATGCATTTGATAAGGGTATATTGATACACAAGTAAGGGAAGTTTCCGGTTTAAGAGTTGAGGTCAGTTGAAGTCAGCATTTATCATAAAGCTTTGTTGTTAGATAACCATTATGTCTTTTTCTGATCTTTTTCATATCCAAATATAAAACGGGCGTATCAAACAGCTCTATTTCAAGCTCATTGGGATGAATCGGAGCGACAAATGAATGAAAGTACTAGTAACTACGAAAGCCCAGAAGGCTCATTCGAGATTCGAGTTTCCAAATACGAGATTCGAAATTCGAGATTCAAAATTCGAAATTCGAGATTCAAAATTCGAGTTTCGAGATTCAAGATCCAAACGAACCAATCAAAAGCGGGTTCAACATTTGATTATTTCCCTTTATTATGTTTTTACTATCAAGAAATAATTCAATATAATTATATCAAATGGGTCATTTGATTAAATTACAATGCAAGAAAAAGTGTTATATATATTAGAGGGAAATTTAAATAATTAATGGATTTTTGATCCGCAATGAATATTTCAATTTATATTATAGATTCTTAAATATTAAATAGATTACATATATCAGGAGTATATAATTATATTTTTGTATTGATGACAAATTACCGGCCGCCAGGAGATGGTCGGTTATATGATATGAAAGTTCGAAGTCGCTGTGCGTTTCTGCGGAGTTAAAACAATTTAAATAAAAAATATTTAACATTAATATAATAGTATATTAAAAAGACGGTCTTAAGGTTAAAGAAAAACGCACAATACACATAAAATTAAAAATTCTTATGAAGAATGAGGTAAATAATTCATCCAATACTGACTTAGAAATTTAGATATGTTTGAAGTGCGGAGAAAATTAAGACATGTGTTGGGCGTAGTCTAAATCAAAGACCGCGTTATGTATATTACACAATTTTACTTTCTCTATTCAAACGGGATTAGTTGTACGTATTTATTTTAAAATGACGTGTACATATGTACACTTATAAACATTTTGAAAAATATGGTTAAATGTAAATTCATTAAAAGACTTAGCAGGCTACAAAATATTACAAGATTTGGCCCTTAGCAGACGAGGATAATGCACGTTTTACAATGTGCCAAGAATTTTCCCGCTACAACTCAAAGAGAAGAAATGAAGTGGCGGATCTAGAGGGAGTTTAGTTTTTTCCTCTAAGAGAGAGCAAGGATACCAACATATTTGCTGCATTTTTATTAAATTAAACTACACTGCATATCTAGTTGTAGATTACATTTAATTTTAGTTTTAAACTTTTAATGTAAATGCCATACAGGCCCACGGTTCAAAAGTTGTTGACGCAGAGTACCAGGGGTTAATACTGAACATGCATTATATAATTAAGAAAATCATGCAATGTAGAGCACAAGCTTTTAATATCACGAGGATATATATTAAAAGATAAATATAAGATATTTTAAAAACAGACCACCATAGTCTTTAGTTGCTTCATAAAAGGAACATTAATTGGTTTGCGGCCGATTTTTGACGCTTACGTCAATACATGTTTCTTGTCTTAATTTTTAGAAAAACACAGGTACGTGTGGACAAGACCCCCCCCCCCTTGATATTGAACCCCGGGGCTTATTTCTCTGTTATGTGTAGCCTTACAATACGAAAAAAATCGTTGGCGTAAAACCCCCAGAATAATCGCTCAACCAAAAAAACAAAACAAAAAAACACTATTTATTACCCCCACTTTACAAGAAAGAAAGCTGTTTACGGAAAAAATGTGGGATTATTACGTGATGCAGAGTCAGTCCGATAGCATGGACTAACACAGAAATCAGTGGCAGATTTAAGGGGGGGCGCACCCGGCGCGCGCCCCCTTAAAATTGTCCAAGTTAGCATAAAACATAGTTTGTCGAGAAAATGTTTTAAATGTCTATTCGGTAGACCTCATTGTTACCCTACAAAACCTCTAGAATCCAAGAGCTTCCGGGGCCTTCGCCCCCTGGGCCCCCACCAGGGCTTTGCCCTGGACCCACTGGGGGCCTCAAGGCGGCCCCCAGACCCCCTGCCTGAATCTGGCGCCCCCCTAACTTCAATTCCTGGATCCGCCCCTGGAAATACATTGTATATGTAGAGACAGTGTGAATCGACATATAAAGTTAAAACAAAATAAATGCATTCAACACCAGTGGGGGTACAACATAAACAGACTGGAGTGGCATATCCTTCTCTTATAATGTATAGTGGGTATTTGGGGGGGGGTGTTGAGCGATTATTCTGGGGATTTTACAATTTTTTGTTATTGTATACATGATGAATAAGTTTAATAAATAAAACTTGTGAAAAAAATGTCCAATAAGCCCTAGGAATATCGAGGGGGGAGGGGGGGGGGTGGTACCTTTCACAAGTACCTGTGGTTTTCCTAACACAGGAAATGCATAAATATTAAGTTTAGTAGACAATTCAAAAATATATATACTCCTGATATATGAAATCTATTTAATATTTAAGAATCTATAATATAAATAAAAATATTTTTTGCTGATCAAAATTCCATTAATTATTTAAATTTCCCTCTAACATATATAACACTTTTTCTTGCATTGTAATTTAATCAAATGACCCATTTGATATAATTATATTGAACTATTTCTTGATAGTAAAAACATAATAAAGGGAAATAATCAAATGTTGAACCCGCTTTTGATTGGTTCGTTTGGATCTTGAATCTCGAAACTCGAATTTTGAATCTCGAATTTCGAAATTTGAATCTCGAATTTCGAATCTCGTATTTGGAAACTCGAATCTCGAATGAGCCTTCTGGGCTTTCGTAAGTAACTCATAATTGTTCATTCAAAATCCGTCATCGACATACATGTATCGGATTGAAGGCCACAGCAAGCATTTTCTTCTCATACAGACGTTTTTGAATAAAGTCTGCTTCATGGCAATACAAAAATAGGTCTGCTAATAACGGGGCCAAATTGATACTCATGGTCTGCTGGAAGATCTGATCTTCAATTTTTTTTAAAAAATGAACTTTCAGCAAAACAATTTTGCAAATAGTGCCAAGGTAAGTATAACGGGTTCCATTTTCATTGCAAAATAAGCCGTCTTTGTCAGAAAGCCCGGAATTAAGTTTATCATTGGAAATTGTTGAATGTATAAAGTGTTGAAAAATCGTACGGTTTTATGTTATTGATTTTGGTAAAATTTTTGGTAAAATTTAGTCATATTAAATTTTCCGAAAGTTCCATCCAGTTTCTAAGAACACATATCTGATTTACATCACTTATAAAATATACTGTTGTACAGTACTCCTGTAGTTTCTTCTTCACTGATGTAAATATTTCAATGAAGATTAAAGAGGTTTGATAAAGCATCGTTTTGGAACCCACTATATACTAAAGTTATCTTTGTTTGTAAGAATTTGTATGGATTTTTGGACTGATGAAATATAGGTTTAGTAATTCAAATTCATTTTGATTGTTGATGATACAGTGGTGGCCAGGTTAGACCAAGGATATCAAACAATATTGAAAAGTACATGTATTTTATCCTTTGTTTTTATTTTTATTTGCACCATGAAAATAAGAACAGACTTACACTTAAACAGAATTTTATTTTGCTTTTTGATCAACTTAATTAATGCTCAATCAGCATATTAAGGTTTTTCCACCCTCACAATTTTAATGGTTCACAAAAACTGCATTTATTTTCATTTGATATAGTTTAAATTTACTAATTATTGCAAAAAATGTATAAGTCGACATATTACTGAGTATTTGATTTATAAGATAGGAGACATAAATAAACAGATGTGTATGTCAACATAAAAAATGTACATTTTTTGTAAACATTATCATGACAAAAATTATGTAAAAACTGGTTCAAATGCAAAATTCTGATGCAGAAAGTTCCGAAATACTTGCTACTTCTATGATATTTTTAAATTGTGAAGACCAGGGAAACTATTTTACATAAGAAGTACAATAAAGAAAATGCCTGAATGAAGATACCTGAGAAGGAGTTATTGCCCTTGTCAACATTTTTAAAGATTGTATAATGGCTTAAAAAAAAGAAAAGAAACATTTTTAAGAATTCTTTTTCTTAACATTATTTATCATTACAGCTTTTAAGAATTATTCTTATAAAGATTATTGTTCTACTTGGCATGAATTTAAATTAATAACAGTTTTTGCAAAAACTTATGACATCATAGGAGGAAGGAAATACCTTAAACTAAAAGTTATGCTAGTAAATTACTCAGAGAAATTGACGCTTCAAGTTGAAAATTTTATCAGACTATATCTTGATTGTACAATGAGTACAGCATCTGCAAAATTCTACGCAGATTTTGTTTTAATTTCCTATTTATTTTTCAGTTGCTCTCAGCAAAAAAGAAATGTTTAGCTTCATCAGCATTGTAACACCTGTGATGTGCCTTTCATGAACCATACTTTTAAATTGTAATATCTTAGAATCGTGATATTCAAGGAAACATATTCTAAAGTTTTATGAGGTTATTGTATACAGGGTTATTTTCGCCCTTTTGAACTTGTGAACAATTTTGCCCCGTTTTAAATTCGCCCAGTCAAAGCTCTGTTTAAGAAATTATGAGGCGTAATTTGAATTCGTCCCGTTTTAAATTCGCCCAATCAAGGAGAGGGCGAAAGGTGCGAAAATAAAACTGGGGCGAAAATTTCCCTGTCAACAGTATTGTATAAACTTGGTGAGGCATATTACTTCATTAAAAATGTGTTATTGGTTGTAACATACAAGTACCTCTTTTAATTCTATCTAAACTAACGCAAAATTTAGTTTGAAAAACACAACCAGTTTCTTGTCTAATTCTTGGAAAGGGGGGTGTTCTTGAAATTTTTATATATTTATAATACTTTGCTCCAGAACTTATAGAGCAGAACAGACAATAAGACATACTTTTTGTTTCATACTGGTAATATTTTTATTAAAATCTAATCTTATACATTATTGATAAATAAATTAAGAATATTTACAAATTCATAATCCACAAATTATACTCAAACTTAACAACAACAAAGTGCTCACAGATTCTACCTTCCAAAGCACTACTAATAAGAAGCATCACACAAAACAACATATTTTTTCAGTCATGTGACTAAGGGCACATTGCAATGCACTCACTCTTTCATAAGCGGACATTGGCTTACATTCGTTTTTGTTTAATACTGATCTGAAAAATGACGTCACACAACAGTTCCTAATACGGTGGTGTGTAAGCATTTGACGGAACTTCTGCCGTTACGCATCGCTGATCTGGAGACGTGGGAAAACTGGTTCCTTTGTTAGAATTATCATCGTCTGAATCACTGTATCCTGATTCCGATTCCAGGGAATCTTTAAAGAGATCGAATCGGGCAAGCTTGGCTTGCTGCTGTTCCAGTGTCTGTTTCCGCCATTTGATTCTCCTGTTTTGGAACCAAACTTTCACTTGGGCTTCGGTCAAGTTCAAGGAGCAAGCCAAATAGTACCTGTTGTTAATTCAGAAACATAAGAAAATTATTATAACTTTTTGATCTCTAAAAGAACCTTAGAAAGCTAGTTTTGAAGTGGAAATATAAGAATAAAATTTTGACGTTTGCAGTTTGTTTTATGCCATAATAATTCGTAATAAGCATACCTCTCTGTTCCAACCATATACTGTTGTTTTTCAAATTCCGCCTCTAGTCGTTCCAGTTGCTCAGGGGTGAAGATTGTGCGTACTCTCTTTCCTTTGCCCTGTTTCCAACCCTGTTTACATTCCAATTTTTTGTCATCTTTTTGATCTGAAAAACACAGAATAATTGGTATAAAAGTAAGATTCAGATGCTTCAGACTGCATTTGTATATTTTGTATAAAATTGTATCATTATAGATATTTATTCTTTATTATTTTATCTATTTTATTTATTTGATGCCTAAAATATGCCCTTCCTTCAATTTATGTTTTATAAAAATTGTGCAACCTGAAAATTTCTTTGATGATGTGTACACGTGTACATGTATAATTATTTATAAGAAAGCCAGGTGTTACTTTGTTGAATCTTTGTAAAAAAAAATCATTTGTTGTCATTTTTTTTCTCATAAATAAGCTTTCAAATCCAAAATCTTGTCGATTTATTTTCACACCGATTTTACAAGCTGTTTTCGATAGCTAGATTGTGTCATTTTGTAACCGTATAAATTCATAAGCGTGAGAATTAGGAACATGTTGACACAGAGAACACGCCCCTTTTGCACCATTCTCATTTTTACCACATTTTTATTATGTTTACTTGCCATTTATCTGCCCGAGAACTGTGTGTTAAATGGAAAATCCCCGCTCATTTATTGTACTTAATTGATTTTCTTTCGCACAGACTGTGTAAAATAGGCGGAGAAGCAAACTTGAATTCAGAATTTTAAATAATAATAAAAAAAATCAAAATTGGCGTTAAATTATATGTTTTAGCTGTCGTTTTTAAATGCATCTGAATAAGTTATAAACTTGGTGAGATTTTTCTCCTTATTATGTCGGATCGTGATAATGAAATCAAACGGGATCTAAACCTTGTCAAAGGTTTAATTCAAGGTCTATAATTTTCGTAACCAAATAAAATTATTGGGAAAATTCGGTGTCTTTTCACCTTATTTTGTCAATGATTGAAGTTATTTAATCAATAATTACTCTCTGTGGCTATTTTATGAATTCTGAAAAACTAAATCCCAATTTTTATCTATACAGTCTCGGTTTTATTTCCTCCAGTAACGTGCCATTTAAATTATTTATTTTTGCTGAAAAGCATTGTTTAATTTCAGGGTTTTAAAGGTTTTATTTGAACTTTTCGTGAAAAAGATAAACATTGCTCTTTCATACGTCCCTTACAGATTTTCTTTTGAAAACAGTAGATTATGGGTCTGTGGTTTTAAGAATAAAATTAAGGGGGAGAAATGAGTAATTAGAGTGTCGTAATATAAGTAACATCTGTGTGTTGTTTGCGGTTGTCGTTAAAAAAGCCAAATGATCGCTTTATGAAAATTTGAATGAAACAGGTGACTTTTCGCGACCTATTTTAGAACAGAGTTATGAATTTTAATGCTTCGCAAAATTGCAAGGGGGTGGTGAAGACAGAACATTTATGAACTGATAATTATGGTTTTGGGAATTTCAACCACAATACGACAAATCGCGCAACGAGAGACGAAACCCTTTTACAAATGAACTTACAATAATGATATTAAAAGTTTATTTACTTTCAGATCGACGGACCATCTCAGAAATATTTCACGTGAGAAAATTTCCCCCATATTCGTATTCTTTCAATTTTGAATTAAAGCATAAGGACAAAAAAAAATGACTCAAATAAAACGAATAGATTTTTGCATCAAAAAAAAAAAGTTTGATTAAACATTTGTGTTAAAACATATTAAAGACAAATTTTGTTGCAGTTTAAAAGAGAATGTAATTTTCTGAATTGTTATAAACGAAACCAAGTTTTTACACAAACGTTGCTAGATTTACAGGAGTCAAATTAACGAGGATATAAATTATTTACAATAGAAGTTCCATACATCCCATAAATCTAACCGACCACCACCGTGCCGTGCATGTTTTCTTTTTCGGATGTCATTACCCCACGTGTAAACTTAATTTTGTGGAGAAAATGGGAAATAGCAGTGAAACAGCAGTGAAACAAGAGACGCCGATGGCGAAACGCCACACCTCTCGGACTATAAACACCTTGAGAGACAGTCAATATAAACTTAATTTAATCTCAAGAGTTGATTACTTAATATCATTCAAACAAAATAATTGAAGAGACGTATTTCTTTCACTGCACTTTGACGGTTACGGATTTGACACTGGCTTAACTGACAGATACTGTAAATATAATCCGTCGCTCTTTTTTTTCTTATTTCAAAAATTAGAGTGAATCTAGATTGTTTTAGAATGAAATACATCTTAAGATTTTAAATAATCGTTTCTTTATCTTTAAATTATGTTTTCTTTATGGAAGAAAATAAGTGAAATAAATATTTATATAAAGAAACAGAAGCATTCTTACGCACATGCACATTTTTTTTATCATTTAAAAAAAAATATATATTTATTTCATTCACAAAAGTGTATAGGTCTGGGCAGCAGACATAGCTGATTTAAGCATTCCCAGGATTGTTCAATTACATTATTTGGAATAACTTCCAAATACATTATGTATTCTGGTTTTCGTCTTAATATCTAAAGACTTTCTTTTAAATGTTTGAAAGCAAAAATTTTAAGAAATTCAAGAGAATATTTTCGAAGCTTTGTAAATAATAATCCATTCCTCTCATTTTTTTAAAATAAGTAAGATTTTTTAAAATGAAATCTTAAACAAAAAATAAATAAAAATTTTAAAAGAGAGAGAGAGAGAGAGAGAGGACTATACATAATTTACATTCATTTAAAAGAAAAGCAGTTAATTAATGGTATCTGGTTGTTTGTACTTGTCAGATTAAACTTTCTCTGAGAAATGTTTTGCCGTAGAAGGCTCTCAGTTGACAGGTTCAGTCCGTCTTTATTCCGACTGACGTTTGTCATTCCGACTTTTATATTATAACTTGTCATTGAATGTTTACAAATCATTTTTATAAGAATTTTTCTCTGCATAATTCACCCCCACAGAAAGTAGATGTCAAGAACCGCGATGTTTGAGATTGGTAATAACTTGTAAAAAAGTACTCTTGTATCGTAAAAAAATGGTGCATAATATTTTTTACTAAATGAACGTGCCACCAAATACCAATGAAATAAGTTTCATTAATTAATTAACTCTGATCATTTGATATTCTGTTCATATTCTGATCATTTCAATATTTTGATATTCCTTCCTGCATATGAAATTACTTTAAACATTTCTTATTATAAACTTTAGACAATATGATTATAAAATGATTTTTAATAAACATGCACAAATAAGACATTTCATCTATGGCTTAATCTTGTACAAAAGAATACTTTTGTTGAGATTATTAAATATTTTAAATTACTAATTTTTTCAAATAATTAGAGTTTCAAAAATTTAAATAAAAATGCACTCACCATCATCAAATACTTCGGAGGGACTTTTAACTGATGTACGGTCGGAGCAGGATTTTTCAGAGGATGCTAGGTATGGATGTGAATTGGCAAATAGTCTCTGGTGACGCCTTGAATGAATGTCAACATCTTTTCCACACTCATTGTCAAGATAACTCGGTGATTTTATCTTTCTTGAAATACTCTCTGATTTGTCTCTGTTAAGAATAGCATCTATCGTAAAAGAATCGGCTTTGGATCGAACTCCTGGGTGGATCATTGGTGAGACCGTGGCGGATGGAGGGATTGCATATGTCGGATACGGTGTGTGGATGAAGGCAGGATGGATTGGTAGGTCCATCGTCTTCATTCCGGCACATGTCGCAAAAGGCCAAAATCCGGGAGGAAACGGATAACCAGTCTGCGGTAAAACATTCATTTTTATATTGGTAGAATATAGAGAATGTATATCCACAAGTCAAATTTCTTAGTCAAGAGCACAAGAAGATATTTTCCACTTCTTCCTCAGAAATTGTTTTTTTTTTTTAAAACAATTTAATTATTTTGAGGATAACACAATGCCTATAAAGTTGAAGTAGATTGGTATCTTATGCGGGATGGATAAAATTTGATGCTTGTAAATCGAAGTTTCCACAATCTTATAACCAATGTAAACAATTAGTTCGGGAATATTTAAACATTGTGTTTTTCATGCTTTCTCTTGGCCGCCTTTTGATTGGTTGGTGTCTTTACGCTTGGCGTATCAATGACTGATCTTGCACCAGAGCGTATAATGCGAAACCATTCTAATAACCTACAGGCACTTTTCATACATCTAAATATGTAATAGGCAAACTTCATTTTCAGGTAAAATGGGAATAATTATTCAAGGTGCTGAAACGTGTGTAAATTGTGGCGAACATCAATTTTCTCACATTATTACCACAAACAAATAAAAAAGATAACACAGGCGTAAATATTTAAATATGGGATTTTTTTTATTATGATGAATAACTTTGACAGGTTAATAATAAAATAAAACTACACTGTATATCAAGGGGGGGGGTTAACACTTTGAATCTCTACTTTTTTAATCATACAATATTTTAAAAATGATTTTTTTAAAACAATTTTAAAACACATGGCCAATATCCATGCTTTGACTCCAAATGAACAAATCGGTCAGAACTTATTTTCGGTCTTGGTGTGTTTTGTAAACCATCACTCAATATTCTAAGATACAAAATAAAATGCAAATATGCAACACTTCATTAAAATGAATGAGCAGGTAATCATCTCATTAAGTATATTTGACTTCGTAAATATAAATGAAGATAAATGCGATACGCCTGCTTATATAAGCTGTACTCTTGAAGCGACTTTATATATGATAAAGGTACCTCAAAAAAATTATTCAGTATTAAGCAAAACTCTTGATGAAATACTATAAAATGTCACCATCAATCTCCCCAGAATTCGTGAATTTTAAAAGTCGTCGACTTCGAGGAATTTAATGATGAATAGGATATTCATTAACTTCATTTCTTAAAGCGACAGCGCATACCAAGGTGGACTTCATTAGTAGTTCATGCATTTTATGCATTTATGCAGAAAGATTTACATAATGATCTGGAATAAGTAGTTATATCTTAGATTTAGCATAATATGAATTTATCTAAAAACCACGAGAACTTTTACAGAGGCATAGAGCATATACATTTATTGCCTAAAATGCTTATTAACAAATTACGTAATGTATCAATAATTAACATTTATTGTACGCAATTTAAAAATAAAAATGAGAAAAAACTAAATGTCAAACTGAATTTTGTCGAGGACGTGCCCCAATATGTCCTTCGGTAGATGTGAATTTACGCACTATCGTCTGCGTGTGAGACTTAAGTATTTTTCACATTTTTAGGAAAAAGGATCGGAAAAAGACCTCAAAGATTTGTTACATAGTCGCTTTCATCAACTTCAAAGCAGGCAAAATAAAAGAGAAAAGGAAAAATTAACAGTATGGCAGATTTATAACCGACAAAATAAACAGATAAATATATCATTTAATGCATATACAAACAAAAATTAAGTTAGAATAAGGTCTAGAATGAGTTATTTGTGCTGTATTTGCGATAGTGAAAAATTGTTAAGACAGTTTTAATTATCACCTATACGGAGTACTTTTGGTCAATTTCGCAGTGTAAACACAAAAGTTCCTTCATTTAAGCGTATAAATTGGATCAACGAGATTTCGCTGAAACGTGTCACATTTCTTAAAAACCCAGATGAGGAAAGAATGATCGATTTTTTCATTGTTATGCGATAAATAATCTAGTGCTAATTCCAATAAGCGCAATTGGCGCGTGTAATCAACCTTAAATATATTTTCTTCGGAGTTGAAAAGAAATTCAGTGTTTATTGAGTACTTTCACATTTCCGTGGAAACCTATCGAAACAATAAAATGGGGGAAAATTGTACATGTACTTGATACATTTTTATAACGAAAATTTTAACGATGGATATCTTCCAAAATATCTCTTAATTAACTGTTTTTCAATTTTACCTTGAAAATTATATATTCAAATAAACTAGGATTAAAAAACATCCTGGCATTTTTGTAAAATTTGCATACCATGGTCTTATGACCATGTAAATTTCTTGCAGTTCAAATAATGAATTCATTCTAATTACTCTTAATTTCATATTCGCACAGTCATAAATGTAAAGAAATTAGTGTAATACATTTTTATGTGTATTTTTTTTTTAATTTTAATAATTGCATTTTAAAATGTTACGTATTTGTAGGGTAGGATGCTAAATGATATTCGTATTGGAGAAGGTTGTTGGCAAATGTGCTACAACGCAGCTTATAAATTAGAATTGAAAATAAGGATGACTGGAGAATTCTGATGTGCACGCCCGTATAAGATTTTATTATTAGAGCAGTGTTCACGTTCTTAAGAATGTAAAAGAGTTTCAGTCACGTTTTGCGGTCAAAGACTCAGTGCTGGACAATGTAGGCGAAACTATAAGCAAATTTATGGATTTATCTTAATTTTCTGTCCTTAATTAATGGTAAAACATGGACTTCGAGGAGATGATAATATGAAAATAAAACACCCTGGTATTGCCCATCTTTTAAATTGTATACTTTTTAAAATTTTCATATAGAAATATTTTTTTTTATTAATTACATACAAACGAAATTTACAAAAATTCTAACTATATATTGTATGATTTGGTACAGAAAAAAATGAATCTGATCATACATTGTGTTCATTTAATTTTTGCATCACTAGTATGCTTTTATTTCATTTGGTTATTTTTGACAAATTTCATTTAGTATGTATACATGTACCAGTCGTATAGTCTTAAAATGTGAGCCATGAATAACATGATTTTTGCATTTCCAAGGCATACATTCTTGTCTTTTTTTTTTAAGGAGAGTAAACCATATACAGTAGATGTATATGTACTTTTAAACTTTTAAAAATTAGATACATGTACACACTTGTGATTTTAACTTTCCCACGAGTGGTAGATGTCTTATCATTCTTAAATCAAAACAGGTGGTAAACTTGGACAAAACTTGTTGACAGTTTTTCCCTTTTGATCTCATATTGTCACCCAAGATGAATTAAATGTGTCCTGATAAAAAAATCTTAAACTTTAGTGATGCAATTTTTGAAACATGACCAGAAAAACACAATAAGCTGAACAAATTACAGTGTAAATTAAGTTTTGTTTTCATAGAAAACAGATATTCTTAACCAAGGATAGATGAAAGAGAAGCGGTGATTTTTGAAATTTTCTTATACGGTGTGGGGTCGAAGGATTTTCTTTTAAACCAATTACGGTTTCTAATGAGTTTTTATTCATTAGTTAGTTTTTAGAATGAGTAACCACCAATTTTCCTGGCTGAGTCTAAACAATTTTTGCACTGGGGACCTACAACTCGCATAATGTTGATACCAGTTATTAACACATTTCCCAAAGAAATGGACGAAAATAATATACAGGCTGTAAGTTTCACATCGATAGAAAATAGTTGTTTTGGCCCAAAGGTATTTGTGTTTCATCTCTGAATGGGGAAAATGATACTCCGCTCAATTAAAATGTTTAACAAACAAACATTGGGAACATGGCGTAATCTTTGATTATAAAACTATCACTTAAAACCCTGCTTTGGGGGTATATATACTCGATTAGCGCCGATATCAAACGATACTTGGGTGTTTTTATAGGAAATATTCGGAAAAAGGAGTAAATTCTTATCTCAGTAAATACACAATATATTCGTTAATGAAGAGGCATTCTTGTCTTCATTCTCGTGTTATTTTATATGACTAATTCGGTTCGTATTTTCCAGAATTTCCCGGTTAAGCAATTTCTTTAATCTTATTTCGGTTTGTAATATCTCCAAGTTTACAATATAACTAAGGAATTTGGTCAATTAATATAGAATTAATAAAAAAAAAAGGTCGAACAGAGCATTACAACTCGTGAATATAAATTTGGCGCCAGCCTTGAAATCTTATCAAAAATATTTTTAATAGAAAATTTGTGATAGATTCCCTAAAGTAAATCAATAATCATATTTCATATTTGTATACAGAAAGGCCTATTATCAAAATAGAGGAACGAAAAGAAAAGATGAAAGAAAACAATCATATTTCATATTTGTATACAGAAAGGCTATTATCAAAATAGAGGAAAGAAAAGAAGAAAAGAAAAGATGAAAGAAAACAGTGTCGAAAACAAAATAAAAATGAAACATAAAAATATATTTTAAAAATGAAATTACGTCGACCAATTATTAGCATTTAGAACAGAAGGACGATTAGGTTTAGTGTTTAAAATTTACAGAATCAAATTAAACTTTTCTGGAACAAAAAATCAGAATAGATTAGCCTTAATTTAAAACCCATAATTAGCATAATGCATATATATTTCGTTTTTATTTTTAAATGATATGCACACAGTAATGGGGTTATCATAAAGTGAATATCTATTCCAGTTGAAAAGCAGACAAATTATTTTCCTCTCTGACTTTCTATTACGTTAATCATGACTTTAATGAAATGAAAATTTATTTTCAAATATACATTTTACGTAGGTTGTAAATTCTTTTAATAAGAATATATATTATCTTACTAGCCCAATTTTTATTGTACTTAATTATTGATAAGACTTCAATTGGTTGTTTAGTATATTTAATTTATATTAATGCAATGGTTTTCACCAACTCTTTTAATAGTTAATTGAATAGTGTAAAATTGTGTGATACTGTGAGCGTGTTTCAGAATGTGTGAAATTTACCCGTGCTAATTAGTAAAGTACCAACAACTAATATTTAGTACTTTTCCTAACTTCGTTAACACTACTTTTCCCAGACACAAACCGTAAATCTGATATTGCTACATGTCCTGTGGTGTACTTTTTTAACACTCGAGTGTTGTAAATTGGTATAATTTGCTGAACAAATCTTCACCTTATTGTCGTTATCATTATCAACAGTTTAATCTTAGACACGGTGAGGATAAAAACATTTCATATGATTTTAGCAATATGTCCTACGGTAATATTGTCTTCACAGCATTAGCAAATACTTGAAAACCATTGATTCAAGAAGAAATCGTT